TGTGTGTGTGTGTGTGTGTGTGTGTGTGTGTGTGTGTGTGTGTGTGTGTGTGTGTGTGTGTGTGTGTGTGACACTGTGCCCAGCTCTGCAGCGCTGTGACATTTACTGATAAGGATTGAGTGATGAGAGGCTCTGCATTTTTCTTTCTTACTCACGTCTGGTTCTGCATGAGGAATTAAGGGGAAAACTGCATGCGCATTCCCTCACCTGTTATTACACTGGCCAGCCATCTTGGCCGGTGACCTCAGCCTGTTGTAGATCTCAGGAGCGTGTCGTGGCGACCTAAGTGATAACAGTTCAACAGGCCAAGCGAGGTAAACCTGACTCGTCTTTCAGCAGTCCACACATCCTTATCTGTCAGCAGACACGCAGATATGCAAGATGTGCAAAGTGATTGCAGCAGTGAGTCTTCCTATGAGTGCAGTCTGAGGCCCTGAAATCAGAGGCTGGCAGGTTTTGTTTGTTTAAAGCGAGTCACATTAGAAACTTTAGTCAGATCTAGTCTCAAGTGAAAACATCAGTCAGTGCTTTTTGCAAGAAGACTGAAGAAAATGAGAGCTTTAGTACAAAAATGTGACACCTCATTCATTACTTGACCTAGAGTCGTACCATGAGTATGTTACCCACGTTCTATTTAAAAAATAAATAAAAATAAATAAATCTCATTTTGAGACAAAGGGCGTTGAATCTCGCATTATCGTCGCTTCCTCTCCCATCAAATCCTGCTTAAAGCTCTTTTTCTCGCCACAGCCCCTCTGGGTTTGGATCAGGATTTGGCTCCCAGCATCAAAACCAAAACCCTAACAGATGCCGGCACAGACCGCGCTGCCATCGAGGCAGCGACACGGGCCCTGACACAACTGTCGGCGGGCTGCTGGCTAATCTGATTTTCCCCACCAAGTGGTCTCCCAGCTCTGAGAAGGGAACCAATTTATGGAAATAAGTCCCCAAAAACATATTAATGGCATTGGAACTGTAAGGGAAGAGCAGCGTTTTAATGATCGAGGAGTTTGGAGGTGAAAATAATGGGGACAAAAAGCATTTGAGGCATTCGATGCATGGCTGTGTCAGCGTCTGATGAAATTAAAGCTACAAAATAATGTTTGATATGATCTCAGGCGGCGTCAGCGACAGGCGGTGTTTACTACAAGAAAAGTGGTTTTTATACCTCTAGAGGTCTTAACCTTGAAAGAAGCCAGAAGCTAAAGTAAAGCCCAGACAGGTTTGAAGAGTAGATGGTGGATATGGTCAATCTGCAGTTAAAACAAAAATCAATGTGCTCATAATTTCTTGATCGCTGCTCGTCTGCCCGGCGCACGTCTTTAACTGCTCCGCAGCACAGTAAATATTCCAGCTACGACTTCCACGCCCTCGACAAGAACTAATCCTTGTCCCACTGGGCTACCCATGTACTCATACCAAGGCTCTACATCATCATCAACTTCTGCCAGACAACTTGGGCGGATGGGTGGGTGTCTGTGTCTGTGTCTGTTGGGGTGGGGGTGATCTAGGCATCCATTCCACATCGACAGCTGTTTACGACAGAAAGAAGGCAAGAGGCATGAGCGCTCCTGCCTAAATGTTTATGATGATAATCATCTGTAGGGCATCAGAAAAGGCATCGCCATGGCAACTGCTGCCCCAAAACAAAGGGAAAGAAACGAGGCAGAGAGAAGATAAACAGACCCCTGTTATTGAAATGGTGCATTCCTGTGAGGATAACAGAAAACACACAGAATAGATAGGATCCAGTGTGTGTGTGTGTGTGTGTGTGTGTGTGTGTGTGTGTGTGTTGGAGGATGACTTGGGAGATTTTGCAAAATAGAGAAAGCTGAAAACACAGACTTGAGGAGGGGGAGGAAAAAAAAATCAGGATGATAAGTGAAAGAAAAAGACGATCTGTGATTGGCAGCTGAGCGGAAAGCTGAGTATCTAACCGAAGGGACTCAACGTCGGGGTCGACCTCATCCGAATGCTGCAGCTCCTTGCCTGATATGAACCCACCCACTCGTCTTAACAACACCCATCCCATTTCCTCTTTTCCACATAGTTTCCAAGGAAACAAAGTTATCTGAGGCGCTAGATGGAGAGAGAAAGAGAGGGAGAGAGAGAGAGATGAAAAACTGAAGGGTGATATTCTTCCAGCTGCTATCGGACTGGACGAACAATAATGGCAGTAACTGCCGTAGATGCCATAGACGGGGCATGATTTATTCAGAGCTGCCTGTAAGCTCTGGGAAACGCACTCTCTTGCTCGCTCTCTCACACACACACACACACACACACACACACACACACACACACACTATACTCCCCTCACACTCTCTCCTGCCTTCTCTCTCAGGTTCTCATCCCAGTTTCATCCTCCTTTCCTGTTCCCATCAGTTTCTTTCTTCCTTTCCATTTTCTCAAAATATGATACAAATAAAAACCCCATATAGCCCACCCCCAATCCCGCGCTTCCTTTTTCAAGCACACACAGACAACTCTAAGGCGCATGTAGATGAACGTGAGCATATGTATGAGCTGAAACATCTCTACTGAGTCATTCCCTTTCATTTGGCTGTCGGTGCTCCAGTGAGGGGGGGGGTTTCTGTAATGTCCTACCGACACTCGGGAGCAATGAAAGTATCTGAGCAGGAGTTTGTGTCTGGAAGGAGGTCACCAAATATGACAGGAAGACATCTGGAGGTGGAGAGTGAAGTGGGAACATCGGTCAATCTGTAAACTTCAGTAAACACAGACAAAACCAAAACGGTCCTTCCCTTCAGAGTTTGCCAGATCCATGGAGGGGTTTCACCTGCCGGCGATAGACCCCTGGCTTTTTCTTGCTGCCATTTTCTCTCAGAGAACAGGCGCGTCGAATCGGTGGGTGACAAAAGGAAGGACGGGTGACAAATAGAGAGATAGCGCGGGGCCTCCCGGAAAAGGGGAGGAATGAGGAAATCTAAGATTCAGTGGTTATTATCCTCTCATCTCAAAGCTCTCTCTCAAAATCCATGGATGTGATTCAGTGTTCCCTTTTTTCTGACCCCAATGTAATGACTTTAAAGAGCAGCATCAGTGCTGCCTGGTGGAGATACATTTAGTTTCACTCCAATGAGAGAAGCAGTTCATCAGTATCGTTCCACCCCCCAAAAATCACTTGGGCCCTACGAGCGTTTTGTTTTTGTTTTTTTTCACATATGTTTTTCATTTTAATTTTTTTGGCCACCTGACACCTAGCCTTCATTCGCTCTGGACTCTTTTCTGTAAGGGTTTTCCAAGAGGTAGCGATACCTGTCGTAGTTCTCCAGCATGTACTTGGGGGCGTACATGTGCTCTTTGGGGTCCACTGGGGGATACTCCTGCAGCGAGCCGTCAAACCAGCCGCCAGTCCGGATGAGGTCGCGGATGTAGTTGAGGTCGCGTTTGTCCTCGTAGTCGCCCCACCGCGGGAAGTCTCCGTTCTGCGCCGACACCAGCTTAAAGTAGATCCCCTCGGGTGTGAAGCACCAGGAGCAGTGCCACCCTGCGAAGTGGAACGGGCTTCCCACCGACCACTGCACCAGGATGTGGCCGGTGTCATTCTCGTATTTGCGGAAACCCGGCATAGTGTAATATTCGCGACGACGCAGTTTGATGCCGTCGCCATCGTACACGTCGTGCAGCATCCTCAACGTGCAGCCCGACACCACCTCCAGAGACCCGAACTGCTTCCAGAAAAAGCCATACAAGGACTGCACACACAGAGAAAAGAGTACAGGCGAATTGCAAAAAGAATGAGATACTGTTACCACATTTATTCTGCCCTTAATCTTACATGGTGAGAAAAAAAAAAAAAAAAAAAGATCTTAATTTCACATAACAAACTGGCTGCTTGTAGAAAACACACGAAAGCTGAGATACTTCTGTTACCTTGCGCATGTGGATGGCGAAAGGCTCTGTCCACCCGTCGAACAGCTTGAGGAAAAGTAGTCCTTCGTGTGCTGGGATTTCGTCGGCATCGTTGATGACGAAAACATCGTCTGATCGCGCACCGACCACCCTGGACATGCCATTGCGCGTCAGGAAGGTACGCAGGTAGTCATCGGCGATCCAGCCGTCCTGCCGACCCCCATCCGGAAAGTGGTTGAGGAACACGTACAGGATCTTGTGACGTATGTAGTCATAGGTACCGTTTAGAAGGAGCCGCAGGAAACTGAGGGAGGGATTACAAAAAATGTAATTACGTGGATTCTTTGATCCAAACGAAAATTAACAGGATTTTTTTTTTTAGCTCAGCATTTTAAGTAACACAGTTGCATTTAGATGAATTTTACCTACTGTTCCAGGCAGCCATTGCTTTCCTTTACTGACATGTAGCAGTCATAAGTTAGCAAGAGTGTAGATTCTTCTTGTCAAAGTAAGGCTGCCACTTGCAATTTTAGTTTTCCTAAACTTCGAACACTGAGAATTTTCAATTTCAATAACACCTACTTACACTTTCTACATTTTGAGCTAGCAAGTGCACACCAAAGTTAGCTTGACTATTAGCAGTTACCTGTTAGCCACATTAGCCAATCTGCTATTATAAGGGTAGCTATTATTAGCTATGGCTAATATTTATAAGGCTAACAATGTCGGTAATGTTATTAATAAGAGCAGCAAAAGTTACAAGACATGTCTGTCTGTGACGTTAGGATTGTGTTAATTTAAAGGGTAACACAAATGCTTATTATTTAGAATTATTAATAATTATTCAACAATTAGTCCCCCTGTGAAAATTTCCCTTTTAAAACTATTATTGAACTGAGAAGTGAATAGCAGTTTTAAATTTCTTGATGATACTTCTTACTCCAGTTCTTGAGACTTGAAACACTATTTTAAATTTGTATATCCATCTCCTGTTTTTGTGATTGAAAACCGTTATTCTCTACTCTAAACAGATGGTTTTCTTAGTGTGATGCTTTCTCCAGTGACAGCTAAAGAGTTTTCACGGTTTGTAAATTGTAAGGTTGTCCTCAGTTTTAGATTTTACAAGCTATGAACATTAAAAATAAATATGCTACAGCTAAAAAAAAAAAAAAATAAAAAAAAAAAATGAGTTTTTCAGTTTCTAATAATGACTCTGGTCTTTTTTCTGAAATAATTTGATCTCTACAGAAACTTAGTATGCTTGGAAATGCTGTGTTGCTCTGTTAAAAAAAGAAAAGAAAAGAAGTTCTTGGGAAGATTTGGACAAAAACTTTAAATTTCATAGGGGTACTAATCATTTGTGTATTAGCATGTTGCTGACACAGTCTACAGTTGTGCCGAGTTTCCCCATCTCTGAGTGGCATTAGGTGACTGTGCCAAGAAACAAAATTAATGAAGGAAACTGATTCACTGCATTTATTACACGATGCCTTCTGGTGGGAAACACACCAACAGAACTGCAGTATCATGCATCCATAACGTGACGTTCCCTGTAATGGATTTCACAAATTTAAAAGGCTTATAATTATAATTTTTTGCCCCTCTGAAGAAAAAAAAAAAAAAAAATTGCAAACCAATATCGCATTAAACGGTCAACAAAATACATTCCAGCTGTGGCCCATTTATAAAAGGTTGTCAAAATGTGGCAGAAGAGATAAAGAAACAGTTCAGAAAGGCACTTGTTTGACAAATGGCACCTTTCAGCAGAGAAAAGCCGTTCTCCTCACGCCAAACTGTCCAGAAGAACAACTCAATTAACCTGTTGATATGCATAGCGAAAGACGGCGATCGCAGAACATAGCCGCTTTCATGCAGTGTCACATCCGATGATTGAACACACCGATCTCTCCCTTCAAGGCTACACGCAGAGTCAATCATGCTGCTCTTGTCATAATCTGCTGTAAAATTTGCCCTCGAGGCGTTTCATGTCGTCGCCACAGGAAGCTAACTGTAATTGTTATTCCGCACGCGGATACTCGAGGAGCACGAGTAGGGCTGGCTGTAAACAAAGAGGGTAAGCTGCAAACAATAACGACTCATTGAAACGGCGCCATCACAACTTGGATAAAGGAGAAAAAAAAGGGGGAAGTATGTGTGTGTGTGTTTGCAACCAAGCAGCTGGATAAAAAAAAAAAAAAAAAAAATGAGCACAAATGGAGCTTTTATTGTTTAACAGTGTGTCCTCATGTGAGCTCATTTATCGATGTAGTTGAGGTCGCGTTTGTCCTCGTAGTCGCCCCACCGCGGGAAGTCTCCGTTCTGCGCCGACACCAGCTTAAAGTAGATCCCCTCGGGTGTGAAGCACCAGGAGCAGTGCCACCCTGCGAAGTGGAACGGGCTTCCCACCGACCACTGCACCAGGATGTGGCCGGTGTCATTCTCGTATTTGCGGAAACCCGGCATAGTGTAATATTCGCGACGACGCAGTTTGATGCCGTCGCCATCGTACACGTCGTGCAGCATCCTCAACGTGCAGCCCGACACCACCTCCAGAGACCCGAACTGCTTCCAGAAAAAGCCATACAACGACTGCACACACAGAGAAAAGAGTACAGGCGAATTGCAAAAAGAATGAGATACTGTTACCACATTTATTCTGCCCTTAATCTTACATGGTTTAAAAAAAA